TTGTATATAACTCCACTTATTGTTAATTATTGTTCACATCGGATGTACAGGCGTTTGAAAGACTTTGAAGTGTACTAATTAAAACATCGCCAGTCTTTATTTGTTAAAGCAAATTTTCATTAAAAATTTCATACTGAAAGATACTTACTATAGTATACGTTTTCCAATATAATAATTATAATTCCAGGTATTTGAAAAGAGGTTGTAATAGGAGAATAGTAATGATCGATAACTAGAGGTCGGCTTTGTTTCCTTCGAGTTCATTGTACGAGTCCACTCAAAATTTGTCGCCAAGTGTAGGAGTGGACAAACAATGTCCTGTAAAGAGTTTTTTTCCGGCAAGCCAAGGCAGTCAGAAAGCCAAGTATAAAGAAATTTTTCTCTTTATTTTGGTCGACATATATTTCTGAAAAAAGTTTTTCTTTCATGAAAAAAACAAGAGTAAATATACAGATGCAAGTTTGCTGCCATTAATTTGCAGGGTGTGATAAGAATTCCCACAAGTAATCTCATTCCCGATTTTAAGAGGACATGGTACTATTTACACAAAACTTAATGATTTTCATAATTTTTGGTTGCCTCCTATGTGTATGTATGATGTAAAATAGATTTTGTGCTTAAAATTTCATAAAAAGCTAACCATTTAGTTTTTAAGGGAAAAACTTTATGCTTATGAAGTGATTTTAAAATGCTACTCCTCCTACAAACATCATCGTACATATATGAAATATGAGTTACAAGTACGTCAAGCTATGTATAACAAAAGTTGGTATGGGTTTTGCGATAATATGCTTCTTATTCGTACACTACTTCTTCTTATGAATGCTTTTTGAAAATTGCTTAAAAAATATGTAAATTCAAAATTCAATTATTTTTTATAATAAGTGTTGCTTTGATAGAAAAATGCATACCAACTTTTATTCCATGTACTATTAGCAACAAGTGAAAAAAATTCCAAGTATTAGGCACAATAGGAAAAAAACTTAGCGTTTTTAATGAAGATACACTACTTATGTTATCTTTCTCCGAGATAAGTCATTTTAAAGTTTTGATTTGTCATTGTGTGTGGGGGGGGGATGTAACAAAAACAAACGTAAAAGTTGTTGCAACTCTGCGTTTTATAAACTTACAGCTTTCAAATTTTATGAGTTCGTAGAATAGTATATGAAAAATAATTTAGGTTAAAAAAATTAGATTTGATTTTTTGACCGACTTTTGTCATTTGAACCGTATTGTGTTCCGTTAAAAATCTAGCAAAGTGTGATAAGGTACATTTGTCTTATTAAACTGACTGAAACTAAATGTGCTTGCAGCTGTACTTGATATGAAATTTGCACAATAAATAAATTGAATAAAAATGCCCCAATTTTATTGATTTTTTGGTACAAGTTACATCATTTACAAGATAAAGTTGTCGTGACCCTTCGGTCGCAGGTAGATTTGGATGCGCAAAAATAAGAGACATTTGAATAAAATCAACATTTTTTTTTACCTTCAAATTAATACCAAAAGATTGATTAAATGAAGGGAATGTGGTCATCCTAATTACTCTCTAACCTAAATATTAAAAACAAATCTTAAAGTGTAAAACTGTAACTATTAATTCTGCAGCACGGACGATCTTTTTCCGTAGAGATCTCGGCTCGCCTTATTGAAAGTGCAATGGCTTCAATTATTATAACTCTTTCTTCAGTGTCCATCGACTACTTCACTCTCTTTCTTCGCTTGACTTTAAATAGTAACTCACATTTACTAATTACGGTTCCTTCACGGAAGGTGATTTTATAATGATGCTACAGTTAAAAAGAAGTTCTCTAAAGAATTAAGGAAAGACGCGGATAGGACGAGTTACAAAGTTAAGAAATGAATGCAAACATTTTAAAAAACAGGTGGCCTTCAGGTATCTACGCTTTCACAATTTAGCCCTTGAGTCAAAGCAATTATCCGCCCCCTGATCTATACATTAAATCTGTCAAGACTCAAAACCCTCATAAATGAGAGAGTGAGTGAATAATTCTATGCCAGGGTAGCCATCACCCTATTCAGCTACACGAGGAGTTTTGGCGGTGGACCTTGTAATTTTGAACCATGGTCAAGTGACGAGGACGTCAACTGAGTTTTGGAACCTCCACACCTAACTTCCCCACCACATCAACATGAGGACGTTTGAGTACCGAAAGATTTAACGTGTGTTAGCCCTTTTACATGGCGGGTCTTCTGCGGCACTAGAACCGAACTCAGAAGTCCGTAAGCTTGACCACTAGGCTACCACGGCCACTCGAATAGCTTAATAAATAGTTTCCAAGCGCGATGTTTATAAATAATCAATCAATGGACATTTCATAAAAATTTCAGTTATTGTGTTCAAAACTGAAACGTACGCAAAAGCTGGATTTTTATTTATTAAATATGGATATTTTTTGTAGATTGTAAAATAAGAAAAATAAAATTTTCCCTAAATTAGTTAATAAGATACACATCAGAGTGACTGAAAACGTAACAATTATAATTTTAACATCTTACTTTTCGAACAGCAAAAAAAAGTATGATGCACAATAACTAATAAATTTGAAATTGAAGCTCTTAAGAAACTAACAGAAAACAAATTTTAAATTTATTTTATAAATAAAACGATGCTTATGGTTGAACTATAAATGACCCTCTCTCTCAATTTCAATTTATGTATAAAGTTTTATGCAGGAAAGACAAGAAAATGTTTTTTTCTCTTTCATCTTTCCTTTCCATTGCATTTTTATTTCAAGATTGAACAATCCTGTTGTAAATGCAAATTTTTTTGTTATTTCAAATTGATTTTCATCCAAATCTTTTATCTTACAAGAAAACATCTACTTCGGATCATTTTTTTATTGTCTTACTTTAACTTTCTTATATTTTTATTAGAAAATACTTCTGCTTGTACACTCTTTCTTTTCTATCCCGTCTATCTTTATAAAGCGTCTGAAGTATCAAAAACTTCTAGAGTTTTTTTTTTAAAGTAAATCTGTATACCTCAAAGGTTGCAAGAAATTTGATTTATTTCATTGGAAGGAATTCGAAAGCTGGTATGGGTACTATTATGGCCTTTCAAAATAATTTTAGTAAGTAGCCAGCTACTACTGAATTGAAAAAAGTTAGTTGAACAGAACTAAGAAAGATTAAAGAATTTTAATTATTAAAACAACTAACTGTAGACTAACTTTTTTACATATTTGTTTTCAAGGAAACATAAAACATGGTAATATAAACATAATCCGCTAAGTAATTCAATCCATCCTCTAAATTTTTTTCTTAATTTTATCGCATTTAGCAAAGCGATACAACAGACTTTGGAATCCATCGAAACTATTTGTCCCTCATACGAAAAAAAATTTTTGTTTTTGTTTTTGTTTTATTGACAACTTTTTCCAATGAGTATCGAAATGTTGCTAATTTTTTTCCCGCTCAGTTTTAAAACCGCATTGCAAGTGATTTGTGAGAACTTCTTATATTATATATTACAATGTAATACATTTAACACGAAAACGCTTAAGGCGAAATATCGGTTGACACGAAATAATACAATGGTCCCGACAAAACACTGTGTCTTTTCACGCATTTTTTCTCTTAACACGAAACAAAAATCGCTTAACAGGAAAATATTTCTTTTCTGGAGAAGGAGGATATTGAGACTGAGTTGGCATTAAATGAAATGTTTGAGAAAAATCTTTAGAGCTTCTAAAATCATTTTTAGACTGAATTGCAAAAACACACGATAGAACTGAAACTACAATTTTTGTTCACTCTCTGCAATGATTTAATTTAAGTCTCACTTCGAAATAAATTCATTTATTTACACATTATAAAATAACAATTGTTTAAAGGGACATTTTTTCTATTTCTCTGGTTCTATAGTTTATTATGTTTCATATCAATAAATCAGTAAAGTACAACCTATATTAAGAACAAATTTGTCTCTTCTTTATTTTTTACTTAAAATGTTTGAATATTAGAACTTCAATGTTGGTAAAGAAGGAAGTATATATATATATAATATATATATAATATATATATATATAAAAGTAATAGTTTTGTTCGAAACCAACGTAAACTGGAGTGAACAAACGCTTTAAGTAAAATATGGCTGTGGAACTAATCCAAAATATCCTAGCACGCTTGACAATAACCTTCATCCGAAATATAAAATATTGAGAGCAATAAAAATGTATACGTGGGTCTTACTGTTTTCTTATTCTGCGACTTACAGAGAAGGCTTACAAAATAGAGTGCTATATTATTTCCGAAAAGTATGATAAATGAGATATAGAACCTTGTAAGTATTATAAATCTGCAGAACTTTAATATACTATCATCTCTCGTATCTTCACTTGCTCAACTGTGAACCTTTTCTTTAAGATTTAAACATATTTAGTGTTGTCTATACAATTATATAACTATATGTATTTCCATTCTATTTTTAAATGAAACTATTAATTAGTTTGTAATTATAATAGTATTTTTAAACTAAATGAAAAAACGGAATGTTTAATATATGCTTACATAAAATGTATAGTAATACGGTAAGTAGAAAATTAGTACTTACTATGATACTATGATCAAATATACTGGCTCAGTTTAGCCAAAATTGGCTCTTATGTCATAGAAATACACGCTCACTCAAAGATTCTGTTAAGTACTTCATTTGTATAAATTTAAATATATATCTCAAATTTCTTAGTTAAAAAAAGTATCATAAAAAATTTAAGTCTCAATTCCTACTTAGGTTGACAAATAAATATTTTATTTTAATTACTTTCTATTAAATAGTTACAATAAATATAAATATTTATATACACATATGACAGAATCACAATATTAAGTAGCAAAATAGAAAGCGATTTTCCGTTTTCCTTTCAATATATGGTTTCGGACTATTTTTTGATTGTTTGTTACAGCTTATTCATTAATTAAATTTAATTATTCTAATAAAATGGTATAGTAAATCACATTCTCAGAAATTAGGACATCCCAGGTGAGATTCAAGCCTACGACCTTTGGATTAGATGTTCAATGCGCTATCCATTGCGCTACAGAAATACAACGAACGTTTTTCTTACCTCTATATGCTGTTGTACTATTATTTTCGTTTGTTACTATTTATTAGTTTTTTAATTTAATTAAGGAATTAATATTTGAAAAAACTGCATGAACTTCAAGTGTCCTCCACTTCAAGTTTTAAAAAATGTATTTGAACTTGAATGGATGAATAGTAAGTATTTTATTAACGATTAAAATTTGGACAAGATTATATATATATATATATATATATATATATATATATATATATATGAATGAACCAATAGTAGGGAAATTGAAAAAAGAATTATGTTAAAATTACTTTTTAAACCCTTTTTGAAATACTATAGTGCGTTCATAAATATTATTATTCATCTCGTTTAAATAATTAATGCATACAATTAAAGTGATTGAGTGATTTTAAATTTTAAACTTTTCTTTTAGTTTTTTCAAACTTTTAGGAACAAAAAAAAATAATTTTAAAATTTTAAAATTTAGCCACTAAATATCTTTGATATACCTGTAAAGTATATAGAAAATAGAATGTTATTTCCCTGGGTATTTGATTCCATCTCAAATAGTTTTAAATTCATAAAATTTCATGAAAATTTTTTAAAAAATGTATTTTATTTTTCAACTATTTCTTATTTAAGTTTTTAAAAAAAGTGATGTTACAAAAACAAATTCAAAAGATAATGTATTAATTGCTCAATGTCTCAACTATAAAAATCTTTTATTTCTTATCAAAATTTTAAAAAGTAAGCAGTAGAAATTTATAATGTACATAAAAAGCCAAACGTAAGTTAATGCTTACGAAGTTGAAATATTTATTGTGAAACAACGAAGTTCCGTTGCTGCGTTTGTTAATATTTGTAATTTAGAATTATTTTATGAGAGTAAAATTTAAATGTCAAATGTGTATCCAAGATTTAGCATCGTTTGAATTAAATTTCACTTCAAGTTTAAAAAAAGTTTGTTTATATATATATATTGTGTATCTAATATATATTTTAATCATATTTGTTGCAAATTCTACGATAGATCATGCGATTTTATGCTTTATTGAAGAAGTTAAGAAAAAAAGTAGATGTAAAACTAATTGAAAATTGTAGCACACTCTTGCAACATATACACACATTATGGTATATCTGTTACAAAAATATAAATAAAACTCAGAATTTTATTAATTTTCAACTTAAGTTTATCTAAATAAACACTAATGGTACGTATAATACATAGATGGAATGTTTACCAAATAAAAGTAATATTAAAATAACTTTAGAATTTTATATATAGTTTTAATTTGCATAGAGGCATGCGTGAAATTATGGATTTTAAGTATCTTCTGAAATCACTATTTGTATTTTTTGAAAGCCATTAGCAAATAAGCAACAAAAAAATTTGTCCAAGAAAAATTTTAATGAAAAATATTTACAAAATATTTCGTTCACAGAAAGTTAGGTAAAATTTATATAAAATTGTAAAGCAACTAACAAAAAATAGTAATCAAATCTCAGAGCACAAAGAATATTCGTTGATTAAAAGTATTTTAGAATTTTTATTTGAAACATAAAAGATATTGGACGAACTTTTAAATTTTTTGTGATACTTGCAATGCAAATTAAATGTTATTCAAGAAAAATCAAAAATTATTTTTTAAGTAAACGTGAATTAATTAGATCTTATGGAATTTATATTCAGAGAAACGCATATTATCAAAACAAGAAAATATTGACAATCAGTTATAAATACAAAATTCAAATAACTTCAGTAAAACTGTGTATTTTTATGCAGAAATTCTCGAAATTATTTTAATTCCATTTACGATCACATTTAAAAAATTTTAATCTTTTGCAGAGATTCTTTCGAAAAAAGAGCCTCTAACTATAAGCAATCAAATTTTGAAGAGATCAAAAATAAAAGACAGAAGAAAAAATCAAATTTCTTTCGATATTTTTTATCAGGGGAAAATCAGTTCTCAATATCTAAAAAATAAGTTTAAAGCTCAATGATTCCAAACAGAGTGTTTAACGACTTCGCTCTATTAATCAACACGAAGACTACTGGCGGCCGATTCCTTAATGTTCAAATACGGTCACGTGATAAGGATGATATCTGAGTAAGCCACCAATGAGAAGACTTAGTGCCATGACAGATTTACGGTGAGTTTTCAGTGGCACTAAAGATAGAACTTATGACACACCTGCCAAGAGTTCGTGACCATGACCAGAAGACATTTCTGTGTGTGTGTGTGTGATTTCCCTTAAAACAAACATATATTCGAACTTTAAAGCTACATTTAACACCTACTTTCAATTATACTGAGTATTCCTGTGTATTTAATCATGCAACTGAAAGTATATATTCTCCTCTCTGTCTTTATTTACATTCTGTGTGATGCTATTTATTTTTATTCCAACATAAATAGTTTATCCATCAAAATATATATATATCGTATTGAAATACCATTTATCATAAATTAAACGAAGTATACTTCAAAACTAATGCATTCTTTTCACTTCTTTACTGATATATCAGTTTATCCTTTTTGATGTAGCGCATCTTTCAAAAAAGAACGTTACTGTCTTCCGTTTTGATTCAACCCCTCTATTCCCTTTCCTTTCCATTGTTTTAAATGAATCTCCCCTGCAAAAACATGCGTCGTTTTTACATGTCATCGCCTCCCGCTGATGTCTTTTTTACCATCACATTTTTAAACAGTGTCGTGCAGTTGCTACATTAAGCCTAAAGCGTGGAACATCGCGCCAGTTCGTTCGTGTCTGCCGAAGAACTTCCATTCCGAAAGTCCTCGAGGAAGCATCCATAATTTAACGGGTGCGTTCTACCGCTTTTGTTTCTTAAAACCACGGCCACACCCCGAAAATACCTTTCCGTGATGTTACGGCAACACAAAACACTTAGCTGCTGCTGCAACTGTCTTGTCCGTCACCATTTTTTTTAATGTCTCTTTCCTTTTTTTTTTTCAGACTATGCATGGTCATTCCGTACTCCCTCTGATCTTTCGTTCGCTTATTTATCTGGAACTATTTTTTTTCCTTAGTGTTCTTTCTGTTTCACACTCAGGGATAGAAAAATGGTGTGGTGTATAGATTCCGCCCTCCCTCCCCTTTTTTCTTACGGATTTAAAGTTATGAACGATGATCAATCATGTCTAGACGTGTTTGGAAAGAGTCCGAATGATTTTTTTATATATCGTCTTTTTTTCTCCCCCTTTTTTTGCGATACACGCCGGAGGTGGATTGAAAACTACTTCGTGAAGTATATTGGTTGATTCCTTATTTATTAGACAAAGGGGAAGAAGATAATTAAATTTAAAAAAAGGCAACTAATATAAAGATTGAAAAGAAATGTATGAATAAATTACTATCATTGTTTAGAGTTTCCTCAGCTATATTTTAAATTATTCACTGAAATCTATTTAGAAATCTTTTGTGTTTAATTAACAATTATTTAATCATAAAATGCATTAAATGTTTTATTTGTTATATGTTATAAAATCTATCTTTATTATATCATGATTCAACTACTATATTACGTTTTTCTTCAATCAAGGAAAAACATTTATTTATACAAAATATATGCTGAGAACGTGGGATCAGTTTGGTTAAAAGTGATAACGGGGTCTTGTAACTGAAACAAAGATTCTTAATATTGCTAACATTATCGCTTATTTTATTTTAACATCATGGGAGTTATTTCGAGCATGCGCTTCGCTCAAATAGAAAAAATTATCCAAATTCCAGGGAATATTATCCAAAATTAGAAAATACAAAAAATTATCCAAATCCAAAAAAAGGGAATTATCCAAATTCCAGATTTAAGCACTTAAGGTTAAATAGGAGAAACGTAGTTTAAAAAAAACACGTGTTCAAGTGAAAGAAATTAGTAGTTATTTTTAGAAATTACATCATTGTTTTAGGGAAAGCTAAAATCGGTTTGTAAAGCATGCGTAAGCTATTATAATATTTTTTTTTTACTGAGAAGAGCTAATAAAAATATATATCGAGAAATCAAGGTATAATCCTTTTAACGAGGAATCACTAATAAATACGTCAAAATATAGGTTTTAATCTTTCAATACTAAAGAAAATGAGACGCGTTTCGAAATAAGGTATTCAGTCTTCCGATTTAGAGATTCTAATTAAAAGAGATTCGAATTTCACATAAATATTACATTAAGTTTATTTATATATATTATACACCGAGTAAGGATGAAACAAAAATCGCAAAAATAATTCATTTAACTCGATTTTAATGATTCTAAAAATAATCAGCTGGTATTAAAGTCAAAATTAAAAGTCTAATACACGTGCAAAATACGATTTATAAATAAAATATTTTCGAAATTATTCAGCTGTTATTTACGTTGATGTGTTAAAATCTTTCAAATGTTTTCAATTGTAAAATATCAATGAAGGGTGGTTTGTCGGAAATTGTTTAGATAAAGTGATAAGACAGTCATCTAAGGTATCCGACTACCCTAAAACAGTGAATTTTGCCAAAAATTGCCAAATTTTTTTTAATGATTTTATTTTATGGGACATCCTATTAGCTTTATAAAAATACCAAGTTTATCACTTTCCGTTTACTAGAACAAAAACTACAAGTGTTTTAGTAAAAGCAGATGCCATTACTTTAAGCAAGATGTCATGCTTTAAAACGCGTTTTACTCGAAATGTGATTTTTTGAAAATAATTAAATGGGGTCAGCGATTGCTCAAAAGTTTTGAACATAATTAACTGAAATTTTTTCTGTAAGTTCGGTATAATAGTAGAATTGTTTTAACCTTCAGATTTTTCATTCGCTGTTTTATTACAAAATTTACAGTCCCTTATGGGAATATAATCACTGTCTTTTTAAGCATTTTCATATAGTAACCAAGATAAAGTGCTCTAGTTTTTGTAAAAAAGAAAATACCTCTTATCCTGAAGGTCATTTCAAAATTGAATAAGATAGCAACACATTAGATTGAAAAAATTGAAAATTTGTTTATAAACCTT